TCCGGCTCGATCGGGCCCATCGAGGCCATCTGCGACCTCGCGGAAAAGTACGGCGCCATCACGTTCCTCGACGAAGTGCATGCCGTCGGCATGTACGGCCCGAGCGGCGCCGGCGTGGCCGAGCACCTCGATTTCGAGACGTACAAGCAGGGCGGCGACACGCGCGGCACGATCCAGGACCGCGTCGACATTATCACGGGCACGCTCGGCAAGGCCTACGGCTGCGTCGGCGGCTACATTGCCGGCAGCGCGCGGCTCGTCGACATGATCCGGTCGCTGGCGCCGGGCTTCATCTTCACGACGTCGATGCCGCCGGCGACCATGGCCGGCGCCAAGACGGCCATCGAGTACCAGATGGGCTACAACGGCGACCGCCGCCTGCAGCAGCTGCACACGCGCGCCGTCAAGGAGGCGCTCGGCGAGCGCGACATTCCCGTCATCCCGAACCCCTCGCACATCATCCCCATTCTCGTCGGCAACGCCGAGCTCGCCAAGCGCGCCTCGGACATGCTGCTCAGCGACTACCAGATCTACGTCCAGTCCATCAACTACCCGACCGTGCCCGTCGGCCAGGAGAGGCTGCGCATCACGCCGACGCCCGGCCACACGAGGGAGTTCCGCGACCAGCTCGTCGCCGCCGTCGACGCCATCTGGACCAAGCTCGACCTCAAGCGCACGTCGGCCTGGGCTGCCGAGGGCGGCTTCATCGGCGTCGGCGAGGCCGAGGGCGCCGCCACGGAGCAGCCGCTGTGGACGGACGGCCAGCTCGGCATCGAGGCCGCCGTCGACGCCATCAAGGCGTCGGGCCACGGCGCCGCGGGCCTCACCGAGGCTCTCCTCGCGCGCGAGGCCACGGCCTAGCGGGGGGGGGGCGCCGAGGCAGGGGACGTTTTGCCGTCCTCCGTTTGTTTGCGGGGTGCACTTGCACGTGCACCTGCCAAAGGCAGACACGCTGCATGACGTGCCTTGGGCTTGCTCTGCTCTGCTCTGCTCTGCTCTG